ATATTGCCACAGACTACCCTGAAAAAGCCGAAAGTGGAACAAATAGAAGGTTCTTTCTTCCTAACAGATGGGAAAAGTAGAGTGGACATTTGTATCAATCCTTTGTGATGGGCGGGGTGGGGGTGGCGGGGTGGGGGAGAAGTATCTTATTGATCCTCCTCTCTACAGATAACCTTTTTAGCACATTCTTTAGTTGTGTATAAATTAATCCATGGTTTTGTGTTAACCCTGTGATGGAAGACTTTCATATTACCCAGATATAGTATACAAACCAGCTCACCCTGCCCTGTTTACAACTCAAATCCCCACAAGGCAATAAACACCAACATAAACACTTGTATCACAGAAACAGGGTATGGTACAAGCAAAACCAAGAAGAAAAGGAAACATGGAGGCAACAACTCCATTAGGATTTATCTTATCTCCTAAGCTTGCTTTGTACCTAAGAATCTTGACCACAAAAATCATTGTTGAACACTATATCTGAAGGATTTTTAGATATATATATATATATATATATATAAGAATTTTAAAGGAAGAAAAGAATTAAAAATAATTGAGCCACAATAAAGAGTGACAACTATATTCAAAACCTAAGCAGTTGGTTAAGCATAATTAAATATGTTTATATGGTAGATTTGTATATTAAATTCTAGTTACCTTCCATTTAGAAAATAAGAAAAATTCTTATGCAACTAAAGCTCAAGAGATCCTCAGTTCTGTTACAGAATTTTTTTCTCACATGATTCAGGAACTGTGGTTTCTCTTCAGTTTGGACTATCATGTCACATTCTACTTTCTATGTCCTTATACTAATTAAAGAATAGTCTTACCTTCCAGCTAATAATCAAACAAAAACAAAAGTCTGCATCATTCTTTTTAAAAGACATTTTCTCCAATAAACTTGCTGCTGAACATCTTAGGCATGTTGCTTACCAAAAATGGCCACGGGACTTTGTAGTACCCCCTCTTATCTATGCTCTTAAGATGCTCCTCTGGATGGAAAGAGCAATTTTCGGAGTATATTAGAGATAAAGAGAAATACTGCATAAGCAAAAGTGTCTCAGGATGCTTCCAGCAGCAAAAGCAAAAACCCAACTTAAAGCACCTTACGTATGAACACGCGTCAGTCACCTCACATCATGGAAGAGTCTGGAGCAGCACTCCTAAGGCCACAGCAGCAGCTCTATGATGCCACACGCCAAGCACCCCACGCTCTCTCACGACCACGTTGAATGGCAGAAGAGTGGCTTGCCTGCTCTGTATCCTTTTACGACAGAGGGAAACCCTTCTCAGAAGCCCCCAGGAGATCCGGCCGTCAAGTGTACTGGCCAAAACTGGATTGCATAGCCATACTCAGAGAAGAAAATATGAATCTGGCATTTTTAACCTCTAAATAGGATATCTGCTTAATAAAATTTTAATAATCTTTCCTAACTGAAGAAATTCAGTTATACTATTTGTCTAACCAAACTCAAACTCACTAAGGTCTTAGAAATAACCTAGTTTGATTGGTGGGTTTCCCCCCTTTTATAAAAACCAAGCTTATCTATTTTAGGGCTAGTTTGAGAGTTAACATTTAGACAGCATTTTCTCATCATCAACTGTAGGGTTCAATACTATTTTCCAAGAGACAGCATTAATGATTACCCATTAATGACTTGAGATTTGAAAAAGAATCTCAAAGCAAATACTAAAGCTAAAATGGTAACTAGAGTATATGTGACACTAACTCCCCACATCCTCTCCAGAACAACGGTCTATGACTTTTGAATGTTCTTCTCAGAGAAACTTTTTCAGAACTCATTAACCTAAATGCACTCACATGACAAAGGCCATATCCTAGACATGTTTCTACTTCCAAAGCAAAAATAGATGACTGGTCAGCTTGAACTTTCTACAAAGTTAACCATCTGCCAAATTATTCAGAACCCTCCTAGGAAAAGCCATGGTGTTCCACGTGCTAATTAAATGAGTCAATGCTTTAATCATACTTCACATAACTAATCTATTTCAATCCTGATCATCTAATTAGCTAATTCCAGTCAATGAATTCTAACCTTAGTCCAAAATTATTAGAAGATTAACGTTTAAAATCAGTGAATGCAAACTGAAATAGAACCACTATAATGAAGTTAAAAATGGTTTGTTCTTCTATTAAAAAGTCTGTTTATATAAAACTGAAGAATTAAAATGCACTATTTTGCCAAGGATTTCTATACCAGCTCTAACCAATGCAGTGTCTCTTGTAATTACATTAAGTGAATTTATTCTCATTAGATATAAAATTCCCTAACAGGGTAGTCTGATGACACTATAAAATACAGTCATACCCATAAACATTAGCGACTTCTTCATGAACCTACCTCCCCGGGCAAGGAAAACAAAAGCAAAAATGAACAAGTGGAACTATATCAAGCTGAAAAGCTTCTGTACAGCAAAGGACACCATCAATGGAACAAAAATGTGCCCTACAGTATGGGAGAATATATTCATAAATGACACATCCAATAAAGGGTTGACATCCAAAATATAGAAAG